GGGGGGGGGGGCGTGGGAGAAACAGATCAAGGTCCTCACAGCGAGGCAGGGAGTAGGACAGGGGCAGGTGCTGTCCAGCCATGGTGGAGAATGGGACTGCTATGTGCACCCCTGGGGAGAGGCATGGGGAGCATTTGCCCCACCAGATGTGTGTGTGGGGCAGAGGTGGGCTGCCCACTGCAGGCTCAGGGCCAGGGGCTGTTCCCGATGTGGGGGCTAGGCCAGGACTGGGCTTGGAGTGGGGTGGGCTCAGATGTATGGGGCAGGCAGCAGCACTGGAAGGGGTGGCTACAGGGAATTCTGGTGTGTCTATAGTCTCCCAAGCCGCCCCCCAGTGCCGGTCCTGCTTGGGACACTCCGCTCTGCTGCCTTTCCCTCAGAAGCTATGCACTGTAGGTCAGGCACAGGGCGCGCAGCGAGAACGAGGCTCCAAAGGGAAAGGCAGCAAAGCAGAGCTTTTTGGGCAGGGGCAGCATTAGGGGGTGGCTTGGGGGGGGTGCTACAGCCACCCAAAATTCCCCATAGCCCCAGCATAGCCACCCTTCCCAGTGCCACTCCCCACCCTGCACAGCTGAGCCCACCCTGCTACTGGCCACTCCAAGCCCAGACCCCTCACTGGAAAGATGGTGGCGCAGCCCCTGGCCCCAAGCCCGCAGTGGACAGCTCATTTCTGCCCCACACATAAATTGGGGAGGAGGGAAAACATGCTCCCCATGCCTCCCCCATGGGTGCTCACCGCACACAAACAATATTGATTCACATCACCAAAGCCAAGTAGCACTTTTAGGTTAAGACTAAAGACAAGTAAAATAAAATTTAAATAATGAATCTGGTCTTTATATTCTAATTAGACATCATTTAAGCACGGTTATTTTTTTTACTTTTTTTGTTTAAGAGTTGCCTTGTTTAGTCAGCTTTGTATTTTTGTTTATTCATTTCAACTCTGAGGAACAGATGGCAAACAGCGCACCCTGGAAAGTATAAGTGCATACATACCGATTAGCACCAGGACATTAATAAGTTTGCTTGCATTTTTGCAAATACTGATATATGCAAGCTATACTGCAAAATCAACACACATGCAATAAAAAAAATCCAATATAAGTCTTATCTTTAGGACTTACTAAGGAATCAAGTTTAAAAAGAATGACCAATAAGGAGTAAGTACTTTACCCAAATATTTCTTTGGGGAAACTGTACTACTTTGTAGTATGGTAAAAATAGTAAAAAAACAAACAAACAGAACACTTCATCCTATACTTTTGTCTTCTTTCTGAACAATCCCATAATCTGATCTAATAAACAAAATATTCTCTTTTTACTTACAGCTACTTAAAATAAACCCATACTGGCTTACCACATTTGTTTTGATTTGGGGACAAAAACAAAAGATACACACTGTTATTTGGAATATGCCAAATAATCTGCTGTTGGTTTTTAGACACAGCAGCCAACTCCCACCTGCAGGATGTGTTAAAATTAAAGTTCTCCGAATGGTAAATTCAGGACATTTTAGTTTAAGATAGCCCAGCACAGCAGAACACAAACATTTTCCTTGTGACTATACACCTAGTCATAACCTCAACTAACTCCATTTCTAAAGCCTATTGTTTTTCTTTCCCTGGCATATTACAAAAGGGCTGAACCATCAAAGCACATACATAATGATACTTAAATGACCTGTCATCACATTAATAATATGAGTAAATCCATATGCTTCAATGTTACAAACACTTAAGCATGTGTATATCAACAGAGACTATGCTTGCTTGCTAGAATCCAAAAGGTGCATGTCAAAGACCATAGAACACAATTTCTAAAGAAAAACATAATAAAGGATTCTTTACTTTAAAAAAAAAGTTAGAACAACATACCTTATGCAGGCATTTTTCCTTTCTTATATATTATAAAGCAGCCAAAAAGGGCAGAAACTCCATTTATTTCCCCAACACACATCACATGTAAACTTACATATTTAGATTTACAAAGACAAAAAAAAACCTACCCAAGGCTATTAGTTCCATAACATAAAGAGACTACAACAAAATCTAGCAGCAATAAAGTAATAATTCCTATAAAAGGAAAACAGACAAAAAGACACCTACAGACATTCATTTCTGCCCTTCCAAAATTCTGGGAAACATACTGCCCTTTCTCCCAACTCTGATCTAAGAAATGTCTTTTACAGCATGCCTGGAAGGTTACCAAATTTAAGCTATTTGGGAGACTTTGCACAGAAAGGTGAAAGTTGCAGAGGAGGTGACCAGCAGCAAGCAATCCATGGAAACTGGAACAGGGACCTGCCTGCTCAGATGGGGTTGAAATGAGACATGAATAAGTGCTACCCACACCAAATATAAAATCATTAAGTTCTTGCTAAGCAATGTCTGTCCCTCACCCCACGTGAATGACACATATGTCTATTAAACAAGACCCACACAGAAAACTGCCAGCAACAACTGACCTGTTCAAGACCCGGAGCAAACAGCTGTACAGTATAAATTCAAACAGTTATCTGGCTGATATTCTGCTTTGTCAGCAATGATACTGTGAATCAAGCAGCTTTCAGACTCCTTGATCCCCATAATCATGCACTTGGTTCAAGGGTGACCTGCAAAAGAAAAAAAACTGGATATGGGCTTTTAATTGGCTTTTTTTTTTTTAAACAGTGAATAAAAGAAAGCCTGGAAGATTAAGGGTTTTTCCTGTTTCTATTGAATAGGAACTCAAATCTTTGGCTGGCAGACTATGATACCTGGAAAATTAATCAAACGGTGACATTACAAGAACTACAAAAGTAAACAAGGAGGAAAGTGGTTTTCAGTCAGGTTTTTAAAAATCAGATTGGGATTTTTTTTTTAATAAATAATTATTTGACCACAAAAACTCATATTTTAGATCACAGACTTTTTTGTTAGAGTTCACAAGCTGTGCTTCCTCCCAAAACACTTTAAAGGTCCCCCAACAAAATAAAGCAACAGACTAGATTATTTAACTAAGTTAAAAAGCTAGCAAGATGAGAAAAGATGCTTACAGCCTTGTTCAGAACTACATTATATACAGCTGGCATTAACACCATGCAGAACCAGTAGCCTGCCTATACTATGGCTCTCCAAACTACTAAAATTGGTAAAACTGAATTGGCGCTATCATCAGAGATTTTTCCCCTTTCTTTTTTTTAGGAGAACACCCAGGGTATACAGGGACTTTGTTTCTGTACAACAATTTTCACACCATAGAACAAGGGCGGGCAATTATTTTTGGGCAGAGGGATGCTTACTGAGTTTTGGCAAGCCATCGAGGGCTGAATGACAGGCAGCCAGGGGCAGATAAATATTAATTTTCTAAATTTTTTAGGGGCCCCGTGGGCCGGATAGAATGGCTTGGTGCACCACATCCAGCCCACATGCTGCATTTTGCCCACCCCTGCCACAGACCCACTTCACAGACTAGTCAGTTTCCTTTTAGCAGAAAAGTTCTCTAGAAAGGGGCTAAGACTTCCAAATATCTCTGCAGGCAGAAACTCTCATTTCAGCCCCAAGCTATTCCATGTAACTGGATGTGGAGAAAGGAGTGCATTTTGCTACCCAAAAGCTAAGGCCTTGTCATCTCAATTTTTTCTCTTATAAGAGATGCAGCAGTCTTGAGCTCTACAGTGTACAAGTTCTTTGCCTTACATTTGCCACTATATTTGCCTCTATATTCTCTGCCTAGCCAATGCAAGTAGCTTCTTCAGGCCCTAGCAGTGGCGATGTGTAAAGGGTGCACGGAGGTGCATGTGCACCCCTTGAGAGTGCCAGTGCACCCCCTGACAAGCCATGCTCACCAATTAGGCTGTGGGCAAAGGGGGCAGGCAAAACGCCAGTGCCTGCCACTGCAAGAGCTGGCCGATCGCTGCAGCCGCTCCCGGAAGCAGCTTCAATGATCAGCTGTTATGTGATTGGATCCCCCCAGGCAGTGTG